TTTTTATTGATTTCATGGAGGAGGGAGAGAGAGAAACATCGATGAGAGAGAATCATTGATTTGGCTGCCTCCTGCATGCCCCCCACTGGGAATGCAGCATGCAACCCGGCATGTGCACTTGACTGGAATCAAACCCGGTAACCTTCAGTTTGCAGGCTGACGCTCTATCCATTGAGCAAAACCAGCTAGAGCCTTAAAATATTTTAAGTAGCTCCCATCATCACAAGAAAAATATAAAATAATAAAATGATCACATTAAGAAGTGACAGAATTGTGTATTGCAAATCACAGTGAATTTGACTGGAATTGAAAAATCCAATGAATTTCTCAAAACACAATATAAAAGACCAAGTCACAAAGTTAGCTGTGTCCCTGTACAGAAACAGAAATTAATACAAAATAACAAATTGTGTAATTACATAAATAATAGCATAAAGAAAATACTGCTGGTGGCCATCCTAATTCTAGGTATATATCGGAAAATATTCACAAAAGATCTGAAAGAGCCATTTACACATTTGTGTCCATTATAATTGTTATTCACAAGAGGCTGCAACAGATGGGAGCAACTCAAATGTCCATGGATAATAGAATGAATGAAGAAAATTTACCATATATGTATAATGGAATGTCTTTCTGCAATAAGATAAAAATAGAGCCCTGACCAGTTTGGCTCAGTGGATAGAGCGTATGCCTGTGGACTGAAGAGTCCCGGGTTCGATTCCAGTCAAGGGCATGTACCTTGGTTGGGGGCACATCCCCAGTTGGGGGTGTGTAGGAGGCGGCTGATAGATGTTGCTCTCTCATCGATGTTTCTGGCTCTCTGTCCCTCTCCCTTCCTCTCTGTAAAAAAATCAATATATTTAAAAAATAAAATAAAATAAAAATAGATATTGTCACCTGATACCACAAAGAGAAACGTTCATGACAATTTTTAAGTGAAGCACACAAGTCACAAAGAGAAAGATACTACAGGATTTCCCTCAGGTGAGTAATCAAATGTAGTCCACGTTATATAAAAAAAAATGGTAGTTATGGGCCGTACTTTTAAAGCAAATGAGGAAGTAGTGGTTTAATACATAATGAGACATTTCTATAAGATGGAAGTTTTGAGAGATCAGATACACAATACAGACAGTAAGAATCTACCCTAGAAAGCAGAAGGTCCTAGAGATGTTAAATAATAAAGGAAACAAAACCCTGCGCGTGGTGTAGGAACTCAGGAAGGAAGTCATCCTCACCCACGGAGACCAGGTTGCTGTAGTTCTCCAACATCACATCCAGGTACAATTTCCTCTGATCTGGGTCCAGGCATTCCCACTCCTCCTGAGAGAACTCTATGGCCACATCCCTGAAGGTCAGCAGTCCCTGAAAGAAAAGACATATTTACTAAGAGGTCACCAGAAGAGTTCACAATAACATGAACACAGTTTTAGAAGAGGTTTGGACCTAGGGGAGTTTCCTGAATCATCCAATAAGATAACTTTGGAGAAGCATCGAACAGACTGTCAAAGTACAGCAGGAAGGCTGGGGAGTGATGGGGGGCAGTGGTAAGAGATCAACCGAAGGACTTGAATGCATGCATACAAGCATAGCCAATGGACACAAGACACTGGGGTGGGGGTGGTGGTAGTGGTGGTGGTGAGGGCATGTTCCGGTGGGTAGGGAGGCCGAGGGATGGTCAATGAGGAAAAAAAGGAGACATATGTACTACTATTCGTAATACTTTAAACAATAAAAAAATTTTAAAAATAAAAATAAAAAGATCACTTTGCCCCAGGAACATTCTCTGATGTGACAAATGAGGATGACACAGGCCCACCAATCCATGGTACAGAATTTGCTTTTCAGTAAACAACTTTAAAATTAAAGCATGGACACAGGCATATGGGTTTCTGAGGGTTGTGTTTGCATCATTCAGGGTCAATGGTGTATATTTCTCAGCTGGAGACGTCATAGTGAGTCAGAAATGTAAGCACTTTGCCGAAACCGGTTTGGCTCAGTGGACAGAGCGTCGGCCTGCGGACTGAAGGGTCCCGGGTTCGATTCTGGTGAAGGGCATGTGCCTTAGTTGTGGGCACATTCCCAGTGGGAGATGTGCAGGAGGCAGCTGATCGATGTTTCTCTCTCATCGATGTTTCTAACTCTCTATCACTCTCCCCTCCTCTCTGTAAAAAATCAATAAAATATATTTTTTTTAAAAAAGAAAGAAATATAAGCACTTCTTCAAGTGTAACATAAACAATGATTGCACTTTTCTAAAAATACAGATTCTGCTACATGTTCTGAGATGGGGCCTATGTGTCACATGTGTAAGAAGCTCACTTTTTACTTGTGATACCAATGTTACCACATCACATGCCATAAGTCTGAATACACAGAAAATGAAAACACAGGAAAAAATTCACAAATAACTTTGAACTCAAGGGGTTTGTTAATGTAACTTGCAGTTCTCATGGAATAAGAGCCACAATCCTATTTGAAATTTTACTATGAATAATCTTAGAACAAGATTATTCTGCCTGGTCCGGAGGGTGTGCTTCAGTGGTTGACCATTGAGCTATTAACCAAGAGGTCACTAATCACAGCACATGCCCAGGTTGCAGGACAGATCCTAGTGTGGGACGTGCAGAATGCAGCAAATCAATGATTCTCTCTCATCATTGATGTTACTACCTCTCTCTCTTTTGCTCTTCCTTTTGCAATCAGTAAAAATATACATCAAGAAGGAGAGAGGGAGCCCAAACCGGTTTGGCTCAGTGGATAGAGTGTCGGCCTGCAGACTGAAGAGTCCCAGGTTGGATCCCGGTCAAGGGCATCTACTTTGGTTTCGGGTGCATCCCCAGTGGGGGGTGTGCAGGAGGCAGCTGATCCATGTTTCTAACTCTCTATCCCTCTCCCTTCCTCTCTGTTAAAAAGTCTATAATATATATTTTTTTTTTTTTAAGGAGAGAGGGAAATATAAAACTGCTAACATTGACTATCATAAGAAATAAGGAAAGTTAAACAACCTGGCAAGGCAAAATATCAGAAGTAGAGAAATATATTCGAAGATGTTAGAGGAAAGCAAGCATAGCCTCATCTTTTACCTGACAAGCAGCCATTTGGGTCCTGGTTACTGATGCTGGTCCTGGGATGTTTTCTCAAGTGACAACTGAGGAACCACAGAATGTGCCTTCAAAGGCGTCCACACAGCCTGTTAATCAGCTCACCTCACACCCACAGTCAGAAGGACCTGGAAATGAGAAAAAGGCCACCCCATCCTACGTTTGTAACAGGAGAGAGTCAGGAACAATGAGATACTAATGTGAGGTGTTTTATTCTATCTTCATGTGTCTGTCCTTCCAAAGACTTCTACAAACTCCTACAGCAATGAGAGCATGTGCTGATTTCCTAAAACACCAAACCAACAGAGCACTGCTTACCTACCCTGAAAAAAGCCTGCAGAGGCCCAAGCTATGCCATCTTTCTCCAGTTCACTCCTGAGGCCTGTAAGACTCCCTTAGAGCTGATTTCAGTAGCCCTGGGTAACAGACATAAGTCCCAGCACACCTGAGACCTCTGGGTAGTGTGATGGTGTCACAGCACACCTACTCGGAGTCCCTATATTCTTCTGAATTCTGCTCGACCACACCATGTGTCAGAGTAGGATCCATTTCTCCGGGAGTGCTTATTGCTAAATCCTGCTCATAATTCTAATTGTGAGAGCAAGTTCCTCCTTGAACCCTGCTCGCTGAACTAACTGCTGGGAACTTACAGGGAGTCTAAGTTCCTCCTTTACCCTCAGCTCGAGTACACCAACTGTGGGGTTTGAGCTCCTCTGCCAGGGGCTGGACCTTCTTGAATACCAAAGAGTAGAAAAAGCCATGAGAAGTTGTGGGTATATATGAGTCTTCATTATAGAAGCTAGTGGCCCTATAGGCACTGCTAACAATGAGCCATCAGACAAAACAGCTCTTCATAACAGTCCTATAAAGGCAGCTGCACACCAGCTGATAAACAAATACATCTTTCCCAAAAAGTAGCAGTAGCCTCTGTACCCACAGCCTTAAGCAGCAGCAGTATCCTCTGTGCCTACATCTATCATCTGAGCAGCCACATGCTGCCTCTGTACTCACAGCCTCACATAGTAGGGGCACCTGAGCTCCCTGCATCTTCCCAGCCTCTTTAGCATGCTGGGTTCACAAGGTAGCTATATCTGAGCTCTCCATAAGCTCTTAGCCTAACGTCATAGCCGTACCAGCTCGCAGCTTCATCTGAGGTCTCTAGCCTCACTAATATACTTTAATAATTAGACATAAGAGGCTTCCTGCCAACAGTGACATCAATCCTTTGGGTTATAGAAGGACACAGTGTAGATTGCAGTGGCCTTGTATCTCTGTATAGTCCTTGTTCACCCTGATTAAGATTCCCATGCTCAGAGTGTCCTTGGCTGTCTGGCATATTACAGATGAGTCCTTCACACTCTAATTACCCTTGACTATCTGGTATCACTGGCATGGTTCCCACAGATGGCTGGAAGCAAGAAGTTTTACCAGTGCAGGTTTCCTAGGTAGATTTCCTTCCTCTTTTTCCAGGAAATTACAAATAGTAGATCTTCATACTAAAGTCTTTGGGAAACGTTAGATATTCAAATATGCTGATCAAGTGAATTCACCATGAATAGATGGGCTCTGTGGGAACCAAGTTTCAGGTCAATCCAGTCCATTCTTCAATATTTTCTGAGGATGGACAACAGGTACTTGAGGGGAATGGCTCTTTTGTGACTCATAGACACAAATTCAACAAATCACATAAAGGAAAAGAAGCAGCTACTGAACATTAGACCAACTCACAGAACTAGACTCTGACTGTTAAGATCATTGACATCCTTACCAGTGCACGCTGAGATAGCCTCATATTATTGACTAAGTGCCACTGAATGCATTGAGGGATGATAAACAGTGGAAGTGAAACAGGTCTCAGAATCTGAACTACACACAATACTTAAAACCAAAAACATCACTGCTGGGCCTTTTGTCTAAGATCAAGTGTAGTATCTGTTCTTAACAGTTTAATATGTGATACGACCTCTATCCAAGGACATTATATTAAATGTATTTTTAGAGCAGGGAGATGGACCATGATTTTGCTCCGCCCAATCCATGCACCAAGTGGGTATTGAAGTATCTCTGGGAACAGTGCAAGAAAACAAACAAACAAAAACAATTAGGGTGGTTGTTTTTTTAATGTAATGATTTCTACATTTAAAGTTTTAAAAATGTGGAGACTACCTTATATAAGCAAAGAATGATAATAGCTGCTTGTGAGATGTCACCAATGCTTATTTCAGCAGTTAATGACTATTTACATGAATGAAATGTCAGATAGAGAAAATCAAAGCCATGGCAGACAAAAAAAGATTGATCCTTCTAATGTCTATATACTAGAGGCCCAGTGCACAAAAATTTGTGCACTCGGTGGGGAGGGGGGGGTCCCTCAGCCTGGCCTGGGCCCATTTGCAGTCCAGGACCCCCTTGGGGGATGTCCACCTGTCGACTTAGGCCCACTACCCTGGGGATCAGCCCTAAGCTTGCAGTCAGACATTCTTCTGGCAGCCAGGGAGATCTCGGGGGATGTCCGACTAAAGGCTTAGGCCCCCAAGGGATCAAGTCTAAACCATTACTTGGACATTCTTAGTGCTGCTAAGAAGGTGGGAGAGGCTCCTGCCACCACGTCTGCACTGGCCAGCCATAAGCCAGCTTTTGGCTGAGTGGCACTTCCCATATGAAAGTGCTCTGACCACCAGGGGGCAGCTCCTGCACTGAGCGTCTGCCCCCTGGTGGCCAGTGCGCATCATAGCAACCGGTCATTCTGCCATTCAGTCAATTTGCATATTAGCCTTTTATTATTATTACTAGAGGCCTGGTGCACGAAATTCGTGCACTGAGGGATGGGGGTTCCCTCAGCCCAGCCTGCCCCTCTCACAGTCCGGGAGCCCTTAGTGGATGTCCTACTGATGGCCACAGTCTGGCAGCAGAGGTTCGGAGCAGGCGTCCCGTGTGTGTGTGTGTGTGTGTGTGTGTGTGTGTCCCCACTGGGGGTCTGCCCCCAGCCACATTGGAGGCTCAGAGCAGGCACTGTGTGTGTGTGTGTGTGTGTGTGTGTGTGTGTGTGTCTGCTGAGGGCCTGCCCCCAGCCACACCATGGAGGCTTGGAGCAGGAGCCCCTCTCTGTTGATCTCTCAGGCTCCTGGCCTCCACTGCATGTTGTACTCTCCCTTGAGCTATGGCCAGGATGAGGGTGCTGCTCGCAAGCCGGGCTTTCCTGCTCCAGGATCGCCATGGCGACGGGGCAGCAGGCCCAGCTGGGGGCTGCCCACAGGCCGGGCTTTACCACTTCCAGGTCTCCATGGCAACCGGGGAGCAGGCCCAGTTTGGAGCTGCCTGCAGGTTGGACTTTGCTCTCCTGCTCCTGGATCCCCATGGCGACCCGGGAGCAGGCCCAGCTGGGGTCTGCCCTCAGGCCAGGCTTGCTTTCCTGCTCCCAGATCACCATGGAAACTGGGGAGCAGGCAAAGTTTGGTGCTGCCTGCAGGCCAGGCTTGCTTTCCAGCTCCCGGATCCTCATGGCGACCAGGGAGAAGGCGCAGCTGGGGGCTGCCCACAGGCCGGGCTTGCTTACCGGCTCCCGGATCAGGCGCAGCTGGGGGCTGCCTACAGGCTGCACTTTTCTACTTACCGATGGCCGAATCACCACAGCGACCCAGGGCCCAGCGGCACTTTCCTGCTCTCCAATAGTCATAGGGTCCCGGCTGGGGCGGGGCTTAGCAGTGCGGGGCTCAGGTGGCACACAGGGGTCCCGGCTGGGGGCGGGGCTTATGCCCCGCTGCCCAGAGCTGCACATGCGGTCCGGATGGCAGCTCACGCTGTCCCGCCCTGCCTGTAGTATAGTATAGAGGCCTGGTGCACGGGTGGGAGCCGGCTGGTTTGCCCTGAAGGGTGTCCCGGATCAGGGTGGGAGTCCCGCTTGGGTGCCTGGCCAGCCTGGATGATGGGCTGATGGCTATTTTTAGGCTGCCCGCACACCCTTCAGGGTGGGGGTCCCCACTGGGGTACCTGGCCAGTCTGGGTGAGGGGCTGAGGGCTGTTTTCAGGCTGTTGGGCGACTGAAGCTCCCAGCCGCTGCTTTTTTTTTCTTTTATTCTGGGATTTATTTACTTTCTATGGCTGTCACTGGAGCTGAGAGCCAACTTTAGCTCTGAGGCCGGCTCCAGCTTGAGGCCTCAGCTGCTGAAAGCAGATATCTGGGCTTTGTTTAGGTTCTATAATTGAAACACTGTTGCCATCACTGCCGCTCTAAGCTCTGAGCCCGCTGCCGGCTGAAAGCAGCTATCTGGAGCTTGTTTAGGTTCTATAATTGCAACTTTGTTGCATCTGGAACTCAGAGCTGGGCTGCCGCAGGCCGGGAACCTTGGCTTCCTCCGTCACTGGAGCAAGCAAGCCTCCTGTTCGCTTCAGGTGCCTGGCGGCTGGCAGCCATCTTGGTTGGCAGTTAATTTGCATATCCTGCTGATTAGCCAATGGGGAGCGTTCGGGGTTATGGTCAATTTGCATGTTTCTCTTTTATTAGATAGGATATAGGATTCCCTATTTCCCCCCTTTTGCCCCCTCTATCCAGCTCTTGCCCCCCACTTCTCTCTGGCCATCACCATACTATTGTCTGTGTCCATGGGTTGTGCATATATTTTCTTTGGCTAATCCCTTTAAATTCACTTCTTTAAATTTTAATTTTCAGGATAAGTGCTTATAACTGCACTATTACATATTTTCTATTATATCATTTAGAATTAAGATATTTTTAAATTGCCAAAACCGGTTTGGCTCAGTGGATAGAGCGTCGGCCTGCGGACTGAAAGGTCCCAGGTTCGATTCCGGTCAAGGGCATGTACCTTGGTTGCAGGCACATTCCCAGTGGGAAATGTGCAGGAGGCAGCTGATCGATGTTTCTCTCTCATCGATGTTTCTGGCTCTCTATCTCTCTCCCTTCCTCTCTGTAAAAAATCAATAAAATATATTTTTTAAAAAAAAAGATATTTTTAAATTGCCAAACCGGTTGGGCTCAGTGGATAGAGCGTCGGCCTGCGGACTGAAGGGTCCCAGGTTCGATTCTGGTCAAGGGCATGTACCTTGGTTGCGGGCACATCCCCAGTAGGGGCTGTGCAGGAGGCAGCTGATCAATCTCTCTCATCGATGTTCTGACTCTCTATCCCTCTCCCGTCTTCTCTGGAAAAATACAATAAAATATATTTTTTTAAAAAGATACTTTTTAATTGAACACTTGTAAATTTTAGCACAATTTAATAAATTATGCTAGAAGCAATTAGCAGATTTTTCATGTAATTCAGATACATTTCAATTAATATTTTATTAATTTTTAACTTTTTAATATTTTAATTTGAAATAATCTCATACATGTAAAAAAAAACTATAAAATACTGCAGCATATATTTTATGCCCTTCACCCAATTTCTTAGGTGTTAATAATTTAAACATAACCATTATACAACTAACAAAATTTGGAATATATTTTTCTTATAATCTCTTTAATGTTACTAAATCCATTTACTTTGTTTTTGTTAATCTTCACCCAAGGATATTTTTCCATTGAATTTTAGAGAGAGTGAAGGGAAAGGGAGAGACACATTGATTGTTTGCCCCCTGCACATGCTCTGATAGGGACTGGGGATCAAGCCAGCAACTGAGGTACATGCCCTTGAATGGAATCGAACCTGGGACCCTTCAGTCCATGGGTAATGCTCTATCCCCTGAGCAAAACAGGCTGCAGCTTAATTCATTTACTTTTAATCTATATGTGTCTTCATATTTAAAGTCGGTTTTGTTTTTGATTCACCCTCATAATGTCTTTTAATTGGTGCATTTATGCCACTGACTTTCAGAGTGCTTACTGATATAGTTACTGTCATATCAGGTGGCTTCTGGGGTTTCTGGGGCTGGCCTGCGGCCTGGGATTGGATCCAATCACGGGCAGCAGGCAGGCGGCTTCTGGGGTCACACACAGAGGCCTGGATGGCGGCTCGTGCTGTCCCACCATGCCTACAGTATGCAAATTAGCTGCCATCTTTGTTGGCGGTTAATTTGCATATAGCCCTGATTAACCAATGGGAGGCATAGCGAAGGTATGGTCAATTACCATGTTTGTCTATTATTAGATAGGATATCTATATCTATCTATCTACAGTAACAAAAGAGAAACATGTAAATTGGTGCCACTCTGCTACATCAACAAGCCACACCCACCAGCTAATCAGGAGCAAGTATGCAAATTAACCCAACCAAGATGGCGGCCATGGCACTGGAGCAAGCAGGAGGCTTGAGTTTCCACCGGCAATAAAGGAAGCCAAGCTTCCCACCCACCCTGGCCTCCGCTCAAGGCTAAAAAGTTTCAATTATAGAATATAAATAAATCCCAGATACCTGCTTCCCTCCACTCAAGGAGGCGCTGTAAAAAGAAAAAAAGGAGGGGCTGGGAGCTTGAGTTGCCAGGGGTGTGGCCAGCCTGCAAACAGCCCTCAGCCCCTCACCCAGACTGGCCAGGCACCCCAGTGGGAACCCCCACCCTAAAGGGGGGTGTGGGCAGCCTAAAAACAGCCATCAGCCTGTCATCCAGGCTGGCCAGGAACCCAAGCGGGACCCCCACCCTGATCCGGGACACCCTTCAGGGCAAACCAGCCGGCCCTGACCCGTGCACCAGGCCTCTATCCTATACTACAGGCAGGGCAGGACAGCACGAGCTGCCATCTGGGCCCCATGTGTAGCCCTGGGCAGCGGGGCATAAGCCCTGCCCCCACCCGGGACCCGTATATGCCACCTGAGCCCCCAGCTGGGACCCCATGCCGCCCAAGCCCCGCACTGCTAAGACCCGCCCCCAGCTGGGACCCTATGACTATTGGAG